ATTTTTAACAGAAAACACTGTTTTGTAAAGTACCTTAAGAAATGAGTCTCATGATTCTGAATCCATTGTGATTACCCAGCAGCCAGAGGACATGGCTGGCAACATGACGTCAGATTGACGTTGTACTCCAATGTGGTGGGGACATAGTGTTTTGTTTGTAGATGAAAATTGAACTGAGGTCAGAATTCAGCGTCAGGCTGATGTCAATGTCCAACCAAAAATCGACCAAATATTAACTTCTAATGATGTTACAGCTTGACGTTGTGTGGACGTTACCGCTATGATGTCTACCAGATGTTGGATTTTAGTTGCCATACCTGACAAATAAATCTCAGAATTTTTACGTCAATATGACGTTGGTTTAAGATTTTGGCTTTGTTGAATTTTATTCACTTTCCAACACAACCTAAAAACAACTAAATGTCAATTTCATTAAACATTGTGGCTCAATCTGAAAAAGTACTATATATATTTCTGGAAAGTGTCAAATAAGTTCCAGGACCTACGTTTCTTTGACTTTTTTTATTTTCGCGAATACACCAGAGGCCGCTGTGTACACTTTTTGAGATCTCAAATTTCTCTCACGAGTGCCCTTCACACCTGCTGTTCTCATGTAAATCCACCAGAGGCCACTGTCGACTCACTGTCCACTGACTAATTGACTGACTCAACCTCCATAAACCTTTGCTCAACCCAACCAATAGTGTTTTTAAAAGCACTAATTGACCAGTGCCCACCCACTTCCCTAAACCCAACCGAAAGTTTTGAAAAGCAATCCAGAAAAAGAACAGCCTTCGTCAGATTTTAAACACGTGTTCAGATTTTTGCTTGTTATTAACTTGTTTATTTCTTTATTTTTTGGCTTCTGTTTTTGTCTTACCCACTTTCTGGAACCGTTCTTCGCCAGACTTGAACCCCCTCATTGCGGTCAACTTTGCTCTCCATCTCAAGTCTACCGACATGGCGAGCTAATTGAACAAATAGGTAACAGTGGGAAAGCCGTCCATATGGAGGTAATCGGTCAGCTGGTAAGCGTGAAAGGGAACAACATCATACCGCCCCCTATCGCTTGTTTTAAAGACTAAATGCAGCCATACGTACTTCCGGCCATATAATTCGTGATCTCCAAAAATGTATATAGGGCTACGTTTTCAGAATGAGCCTATGTTGACATTGTTATTAAACGTCAAAATAGCGTTGTCCTCAGACGCTGGCTAGACATTGAAATTTGGTCACCTGACATCACAACCCAAATCTAACCCAACAATAACGTCTTATGATGTTGTGTGCCTGCTGGGTATACACGATAATTTAAAGTCATTCAAGCAAAGCACAACAGGCTAATTTTGAAAGTATGTTGTTTTGTGCATTGTTAAACTGGCACAGTCCTCTCAGCACCCATCTGTTAGTGTTTTCTAGAGTAGGAACATGTGGCCTAATTTGTCTATAGTGTTATTAAGGCAGGATGAAGCCAAGGATTTGTTGTATTGATTAATCCCAGCCAGTAGTTGGTCCGTCAGCCTAACAGCTCTCTCAGCCAGTGACCCGTGCATCGATACCACCCAGATTGATCATTCAGACCAGCGACTTTCTTGGCGAGAAAGAACAGGACAGAGAGTAATGGCCGCCAAGATCTTTGAGGCTGGAGGGGGAGGAGAACCCGCTCATTCTTAAGAGCAGTTATTCTCATTTTTCTCTCATTATTGATTCAGATCCAAAGAACACACTTGTAAATCTCCAGCAGTGGACGGCAAACACTGTTATACAAGCCAAGAAAGTTGCCAACAGTCATAAGTGTGATTGGTGGGGTTTGATCTTTATTATAGGCAAGGATTTTATGTAGAAATTATGGTAACACTCGTAATGCGTCAGCCGATTATTATTATTAACTAGCTTATTAGTATTAGTAACATATCGGCTGTTTTTTATTAGTTACTTACATAGACAGTCCACCCAAAACTGAAAAACCAAAGTACTTGTTAAAGAGGTCACAAAACTTTTGAGTTTCTTTTTATTTCGAAACACAAAATAGCATATTTTGAAATGAGCAGAAAACCTGTAACCAACACGCAAAACAACAAGCAAAGCTATGTGGAATGTGCGCGTGCACATACATAAAGGTAGTCACTTTCGACCAATCATCTTTCTTACATTTACAATCACTCTCATTGATTGGTGATTATTGTTTTCTGCACATTGAGCAGTGAAAATAAATAATGGCATTGTCCTACCTAATATTTGTATTTTCAAAATGCCAAAGAAGCAGTCAAGCATGTAATTTTTTAAACCACGAGTAAATCTGATAATGAGCTGATTAAAAGAGATCTCAAGAAGGTGGTGTCAAAATAACGTTGTCCTTAGACGCTGGCTAGACATTGAATTTTGGTCACCTGACCCCCTGACCTAAATCTAACTTGGTATTAATGTCTATGGCGTTGTGTGCCTGCTGAGTATAAAGGGCTTTTGTACATCCAACAATTTTCAATCTGACAATGAGCCTGATCAGAAGAGATCTCAAGAAGGTGAAACTGCACCCCTGGATCAGGATAGCAGGAGACAAAAGCAAATCGTTTTTACGTCAGTTGAGTAGGGTAAAGCTTTAGGCCCGGAGACACAACTGCACGCTCAGACCTTACACTCACCTGCACTTTCAGACCTAGGCTGTATCTAAATTCCAAGAACGCAGAGCACAGACTTGCATACTGGTGTCAACTGGTCATGCCAGGTCACCTCGGAAAAACGAGTTTGGGAGACCACAAGAACACAGAACACGTCCTCTGAGAAATGAGATGATGCATTTTCCCTTATGGTCAAATGACCTTCCTGCTTTTTAAACTGAAAATTATTAAACATTACAGCATTCATACAATAATTTACAACGATTTATTGTTTTTCCCCTTTTCACAATACATCTCATACTATGCATAAAGACTTTACAAATATATGTTGCACAGTACAAATAAAACTGATTTTAATAGGAATTTCAGCAAATAAACACTCTCAATGTGTTTGTGCCTTTATAAACTTTTTCATGGTAATTTTTACTTTGACCATTTTGTTTAAGGAAACTCCTGAGATAAATAAGTTATATCTTTGAACTTTAATAATAAATCTATTTAAACTGCTGCGCTTACTGCTTCAAGTCGCAATGACTTCTGGGACTTCTATAGCAAGTTTGGTGCTCAAGTCGGCATCAATGCGTCCTTGATATCAAAAATAGATCCAGGAACTTTCAGATGTCCTCTGTTCTTACGGTCTTGAGTTTTGGAACTGAACTTTGACAGTTGATAATGATGTTACACGAGAGCACGAGGACGCAAGATCGCTGAAGAACGCGTATTGAGAAACAACAGGTCTGGAGACCCAACTGCATGCTCAGACCAGCACTTACAACACAGTCCTTGCTGCAGCCTGCAGCTTGATGATGTACTGAACCAGGTCCACTATGTAATGGACGATTGCCCACACCTCCCCCTACCCCTAACCCAACTATCACAAGAAATATGGCCGTTACCTTAGTGTGCAGAAAAAAGTCTGCTATGTATTGAACCTGGTCCAGTACATCATCATGATTACAGATTGCAGCTTGGACACTTTCTAGCAAGTAGCAACATAAGACAAGTAACCCTAACCTTAAACTGTAAAACCCAAAAAGTTAAGGTAACAAACCTTTTGCTACAAACCATTTAAGTTCAAAAACTAATCCTAATCAGTACTGTGAACTTAATCTATTTAAGTAAATGAAGCAACTTGAGCACAGTAAAAAACCCAACAAATGAAGAGAACTCAAATCAACTGAGAACTGTAAAACCCAATAAGTTAACGCAACTCAAACCGTTTGAGGAAACCGATTGCTACAAACCATTTGAGTTAAAAAATAAATCTATATAAGTAAGGTGAACTTACTCTATTTCAGTTGAAGTAATGAGGTATTTAATTAACTCACTACCTTCAGCACTGACTTAAAAACTCTTTTTAAATGAGTGGAATTAACTTTCAGTTAATTTTGAGTTAACTACACTCATTTAATTTGATAAAGTTGACTGTTGGGTTTTACAGTGTAATGATACTGTAGGTCTAGAAGTGCTGGTCTGAGCGTGCATTTGGGTCTCCAGGCCTGCAGCTTCATAATGTTTTGTCAGCCAGAAAACATGACGGAAGATATAACTGTGGTGGACGTCGTTCACAGTAACTTTTATTTCCTGGTTTTGTTTCGGAAATTATTCGTTTACAAATTAAGCACTGCTTCCTTAATAGGAAAAACAATGGGAAGTCATTGGTTACCAGTTTCCAAGATTTTTCAAAATAGCTCATATTGTGGTCAGCAGAAAAAAAGCCACCCAAACAGGTTTGTGACAACTGAAAGGTGAATGAATGACAGTGTTTTCAGTTTTGGGTGAATCATCCATTTACTAACTATTAATAAAATTGTTTTGACCATATTTAATGGTTTAATAATAGCAAAATTGACCCATTGAGAAGTGAACATGATGCATTTGATTACAGCCTGCAATTTACATTATTAGTAAAAAAAATTTAAGCTGTAAACTTATTTATTATTATTACTTGTAAACTTATCATGTCATTTTCAGGTTGCAATCTAAAGCTTTATCGAACTTGATTTAAAATCTGTTAACATGTAATCTGTCCAGAGTGATTGTACTAGTTTCTAAGCCTTTCATTTAGAAGCCTTTTTAGCATTTTAGTCAGTGTCTGTGATCTTGGATCAGAAAGCAGGTTGCTGGCCCTTGGAAATTGGCTGTGGCGAGGCTTTACAAGGTGGCACAAATGGTGTGCTCAGCACAAGGGACTGCTCACTATGGAAACGGGCAGATCTGAATTTCCCTGTACGAGATGTGACAGCCAGCTGCAGTGTGGCCACTGCCAGTGTTTGGATATGTGGCTGAGTACAATAAGAAGAGACGCGAGTCAAAGTGTAATCCAGGGTGACGGGACAGCCTGTATTTGTTTGCGTGTGTGTTTGTGTTCATGGCCCTTAC